ACCAGGAGGAAAACATCACAGGGAGAACAGCAAAGCACCCAAAACAAGACATACAAAATGTGACATAACACAATAATCGTAACACTAAACACCACAAATATAAATCAGACAAGAGCTGTGTTGTGTTTCTCGCTATCACTTTACGCAGTGAAAAAATAGGTATATGTCTCAAATTATTTAAAAAAATAAAAGTGTGACAGATTTACCTTCTTGTCACTGCCTGCAAAATGTTAATGATTCATTTAAAATGGCTTAAACATTGGCATATCAACAATTTTTACATAGACCTCTCTGGTTTGTTTTGACTCTCAAAGTCTTTCTGTATTTTCATACACAAAGAGCATAGTTGTCAAAAGTATTTAAGAAAACCAAGGATGTACATCAGTCAGTCAAATAACAGAGCAGTATTTAAAACCATGTAATAAATATATATGAGTTGCAGAAATGTACCACATTTAATAACCATGAAAGCTTTCTCATAGTACGGTCACAATTTTTATGAACGAGTCTGTGCCTCTTCCGGGATCTGTCGTTCTTGAATTAGTTCTGGCTTAGTCAGTAAACTGACTGCGAAATAACTTATAAACAAACTCCACTGCTGATCTGCGTTACACAAAAACGTGTTAACCCATTAAAAAAATAGGATACCTCTCAGTTTATTGTCTCAATGTGTAAAGGGTATAAGTTCCACAAAGTACTTTTCCTGACCTCTGTCCTTATGTAAGGCCAATATCCAACCATCTGGTTTTGTTTAGTCTTAAACACTACAATACTTACTGGCGCTCAAACACCCATACAGTCACTACAATGAGAACATCCTGCTGATTTCAGTGTTGGAAAACAAACATCTATCATGAAGTCATCGGGCAGCCAGACAATAATCTCCAGCATTTGTTTGGTATCATAAGCTTCCTCTGTGTAGACATCACTATTTTCAACAGCTCCGGGATCAACATGCTCACTGACAGTCAGTGACATGTTTGTAAATCAACAACGACTAGATCAATGCCATACAGCCCTGTGAATCTTGAGGGCACCAATAATATCACCAAATTCCAACCTCTAACTATGACTCAGCAGAAATGCACGTTAGCAATAATCTGTAAAGGTCTTTCTCCATACTGTTTGGCAAAGAGTGTAATAAACCCCTGTTTTTATACCATGATAATCATTAAGATTATGGTTACGCAAATAAAATGTACTGAAGTGAAGTACTTAGTAAATAAATGATTATTACTAAGTACATCTTATAATCATTAAGTTATTCGATCAAACATCAATCACTACAATGTCTGATTACAATTGGTGTGAGAAAACCTTTGAAGAAATGAACTTGTTCTCACATATTTAAAATATAAATAGAGTGAGCAGCTTCCTCAAGAACTGGAATGTGTTTCACACTTCAAAGCAAACCTTACATGAGCGTCTCTGGCTTACAGGCAGAGGCTCGAACACACACACACACACACACACACACACACACACACACACACACACACACACACACACACACACACACACACAAAGACGGTATGCACACACTTAAATAACACATGCATGACTTTCATATATATATATATTTATTTTGTTAGTGCTTTTACAGGTGCTCAAAGACGCTTTACAGATATAGTGAAAAGAAAAGAAAGGAACAACAAATAAATATATAGTTAAAGTCAAATAATACAAAAACAGCAATCACCAACAATCATCATCATATGTATCCTTACATTACCACATGTGGTCATAAACAAGCATACACAGAGATATTCACATTCAAAAGAGGAATGAGAATGTGGTAGGCTTACTCTCGAGTCTACAGAAATCCTCACATAAGTCTTCTCATAGCATCTGAAGCCCACTGAGAGCAGAGGATCAAGCTCATAACAAAAGGTCAGTGCCCCACAGATAGAGGACTTAGAGATGCTCACAAATAACTGGACAGTCTTGCTTTGCTTTCTAACTGAGCAGCTCACAAGCAACTACACTAATGCAGCTGTGGGGTGATTTAAAAAATATCCAAGTTAACATCCTGATAAAATAATGTAAAATCAGAGGATATGTAATGGAAATAATGTCATTTATTTTGTTTGTTAAGGTATGCTTTGAATTAAATTATAAATCAATATTAATCCTTTCTTTGTACAAACGCAATGCCCCTGTTGAGATACATTCAAACAATCAAGTGTTATTCAACATAGTCACTATTTCAGTGACCTTGTTTGTTATGTTATGTCATGACCCTGAGAGGCCAAAGGTCACATCAGACTCACAACAAACAGCTGTTAACACGTGTGACTAATGCCACATGGATCAGAGCTGGGTTTCTATTATAGTTCCCGTTAAATGTCTATGAAACCTGAGTCAGGGCGTCCGCAGGAGTGAAATCACAACACTGAATTCCAGAAACTAGATTTATCTGAAACTCACACAACACACACATTCACACACACGCTTAAGGACTTTATATTATCCCTCCGAAGCATCTGTAAATAATGATTTGTGACACTTTAGATCAAATGTACTGAGAGCGTGAAGCTCATGCTTGGCTGGAATGGTTCACTGCACAGTTCAGAAACCAAATTGTTGTTGGCCCCTTCTCCTGAATCCTCATGGTACCAGAAACGTCAGAATATAACATTTAACTGTCTGTCCACAAACAGCCTTATGTCTGCTGGGCCTACATTTTTTAATTTCTTTCTTAAACTAGCCAAATTTGGGCTAGCAAAAAGAAAAACAATAGTTATCTTACATACATACAAAGTAAATCTGAATTAAACTTTGGAGGGAAATCAGTTTATACTGTAGATTATAAATATTTGAACATACATGCCAAGGACAGAAACAGAACATAAGAAATGGTGAATTATAAAGAAAGAATGTCCACACATGAGGAAAAACCTCTGAAGGATGTTGAAAGAGTAAGGCGATATTTTTTTCCCACTATTCCTGTCATTCACCTCCCACAGAGTTGGGCCCCCATTCATACCAGAGGTGAGAGTGGGAGCTGAGGCTGAATGTGTTTACAGATTCCTCAGAGCCTACCAGCTAGCTGTGACTTTTAACAGCCGGCTCGTTCCTCCACACTCCGTAAAGCCCACACCAAGAGGACACAGAAGAAGAGAGCAATATCAGATTATGGTCACCAGCTGTTGTCCAGTTATCGAGTGGTTAAACCCAATATGCAAACATGTGGAATTTCCTTAAATCGAACAATATGCTGCAGAATCACAGTCATTTAAAGAACCACCAGGAATCCCAATATTTCCTACACAGCATTAAACTTTTGAAGTTTGAAGAATAATACAGCTGCTCTTGAAGTACTCCATCATCCGCAGTCAATTAAAGCCACATGGAAACAGTTTCCTTGGCCGGAAAGAAAACACACCAGATGACATTTTTTGATGAGCAGAATCACAAACAAACAAATCATATTGGACTGACATAATCACATAATTCACATGCAAATACACACAATACCTAGCTATGCCCCTCCCATTATCTCCTCTCGCCCCTCTGAGTCACTTATCACTGTGATTGGTCACCTGTAAGAAAAGGTTTATGGTGATGACTAGTAGTGGTGAAAATAATCTCTACTTTGTGCAATGATTCTCTGTTAGTTAACAAATCCTCTTTGATGGGATTTTATTGTTTTATCTGGGTTATTTGGTAAGTGGCTGTAAACAAGCTTCTAACAATATAGCCATCTCTCATCCTGTTGGTGAATCAAGTGTTACACGTTTATGAAAATGTCTTAACCCCATCGACTGTTACATCACTCTTTATCAGAGAAACAGTGGCTTCTGGTTGAGAAACATCACAAATTGAAGGGAAAAAAAGGAAATAGAAGAGGTGGTCTTGGTGTGTTGTGTCCAGATGTTCAAGGAAACAAGCATGTGTTCTTGTGTGTGTGTCTCTTTGTGCCTGCATATCTGTGTGCATGTTTGTTGATGTTTAATAGTGTAGATGTGGTGAACCAGCTGAGAAGGAATGTAGAATTTGAAGGCCAAAACACACATCATATGGTTTAAGACAGATTGAGCTATGCCATCTATGCTGCTTAAAATTAACAACTCAGACAGGTTGATGGTGACATCCACAGTGAGCTATCTTTGCTGTAATATTGTTAATCACTCTGCTGTGGGAGTATAAATGAATTCTGATTCTGATAGTCTACATGCAGAATTTCTTTATTTAAGGACGTTTTCAAATTCTAAAACTATATCAGGGGTGCTTTACAAAACACATTTGTTTCTCTATAGCTGTAAATGCACCATAGAGTCAGAAAATACAGCCATGTCAAATGTATCTCTGTAACTACCAATAACTGTAAAGCAGGAGCATGTGAAGAAAGAGCCTTTGGCCTGTATATGCTGATTTGTGGCCGCAGAGGAATTCAAGAAACCAGTAAAAGAATAGGATTTTTGGGAAAAGACAAAAACGAAATGGGCGCCACATGCCTGGATTGATGGCTGGTTTGTGGTTTAACATAAGCAAAACACAAACATAACAAAGGGATTTATAGGTTCCATTTGGTGTGAGAGAAGAAAGTAAAACGCTTATTAAACTAATCTGGAACACATTTGGACATCGTGACTGAATGGTTAGTTTGTCCGTTTTTAGGCACTATACTGACACATGGCTACTGTGTAGTGATCACTTACTACTAGAGCCAAGCAAGATCATGTAGGCCTATACATTATTTCAGGATCTACTGCTTATGTTATGAATCCCATCAGTAAGGCATTTATCTTCTAAAATACGCTTCTGTGTAGCTACTTCTTAAATGTTATCACGTTAATCATATTACTGTTTTTTGTAGTAGCCTACTTAATACTCGTATCCCGATAAATGCGTTAGAGGAAGTTTTAAAAGTATAACACATGCGTGGCATTTGCAGCAGCCCACTTCTCTGAGTATTTCATGGTCGCACATAGGATTACATTTCAGCAGATTACAGGGGGGCGGAGGAGACCAACGTGTGCGCTAAACTGCAGGCGCTCACAGAAATGATCCTGTCCCACTGCGCCTCAGACACAGTGGACTCATCTGAGGATCAAACTGGAGAACTACTGAAACGGAATATTTACCATTTACTATTTCATTTGTATTGTTTGCATTATACGTGCAGCAGCAACTTTTCAACTGCGGAAAAGGAATACCGTAAGTAAGTATTGTTTTCCCTGTATTGTCTGCTAGTAATTACAATTAGACTAGAGAGAAAATATTTCTCATCTTTGCAGGAATTTATTATGTTTGACTTTGTCAACAATTACTTTGTGCTATGTGCGTATAATAATGATATATTAATACGCATATCATTTATAAAATACGAACTTTAATGATGGAGTGATGTAAATGTAGAGAAAACTATCTAAAAAACGTTTCCCAGTTTATTTATTTTTATCTATCTATGTTTGTTTGTTATTTACATTTGGATATACGCTACAACACTGTGCATCTCTCCCAGGTGGTGGTTTTATTAATGTTTAAGGACACAGTCTAGTCCCCTTGTCCGTGCAGCTGAAGCCTCCTCTCCGTGCACAATGCACGTGTGTGGCTGCAGCGCTCCGAACCTGCGGAGGTTTCTGCTGAGGGCTCTGTTCTTCTTGGCTGCTGTGCTGCCGACGAGCGGTGACTGCCCCAAATCATGCGCTTGCAACGTTCCCACTGAAGTGCACTGCACCTTCAGATACCTGACCGCAATACCTGACCACATCCAGCCAGCTGTGGAAAGAATTAACCTCGGGTGAGCTTTCGTTTTCTTTGCAGCTTTTAACAGATTGGAGAAATGCAGATTGCCTACTCTGGGGAAGGACTGATTTTGATGCATGTTTTTAAACTACAGACTGTAAACACAAAGGAACTAGTGTTAGCTACTGCCTTTAGAATTAACTTTTAACACAAGTGTAGTCTAATGCAAATGTCACCACTACTAACAGTAATGCCAGCTTCTCATGACTATATCGTCAGCTTCTGGAAATTGTTACAGCTAAATGGCCCACTTCCTGTAGCCAAGGAATAGCTAAAGTCCTGCCCTGTTATGTGGCCCATTAGCAAACCTTCTATTAGCTGGCCTGCCAAAAAAATGTTTACCCCGGTTGTCTTACAGATACAAAAATATATTTTAAATGGCCTTACCTGCAAGTTTGTGCTTTATTCCTTTCTCCTTTCACCTGTCAAGGAGGAAAACACTTGCAACATTTTAATGTGCACATCACCTGTAGTGACCTTTCATAATTGTAATACAAATCAATAGCTTGCACACTGCAGGGCTCCATTGTTCACTCCAATGTTTATTTCAAGGTGATGTTCCTAACGTTAAACTTGAGGAAAGGTTCAATCAGCCATTTCAACTAAAAACCTGTGAGGAAGTGCAGGACCTGTAACTAAAGTAGCTCCATGCTTTGGTTAAAGGTCTTCTTGGAAAATATATGTTTAAAAGTATATATCAATTATTTTCCTGCAGAAGATATTTGAACTATTACCAGTACCTTTATGATTATAAATGTGATGATAGTTAGAATGAAAAACAATCATTCATAAATAATAGTTCATATAAAACAGGGAGTGATAACAGAACCATTTTTAATTGATAATATTACAAACTGGAATCAGTCATTAGTATAAAACTCATCACTGATTACCAATATGTCAATGGTAAAAGTAATAAATAAACCCAAAGTTATTTCTCTGATTATCCCTTAATGACTGTATGTGCATCTACAGATGGTTTGATTAACATATCCCATACTTTGTTTATCTTTTAGAGCAGCACAGCTTAAACTCAGAAATGTTTCTTGTCAAAAGAAAACATGCATTATGGTGACATAATCAGTAATGTACAAGCATAGCGCTCTCATCTTTAACACTTAAAGTAAATAGTATGTGGTTCATTTGAGGTGATACATTGAAGTATGTCTTTGATTTTCTGTTTTTAGGTACAACAGTATAACTGTCTTAAGGGAAAATGATCTTTCAGGACTTGGAAACTTAGAGTTGTTGATGCTACATAGCAACACTATCCACAGTATTGATGACAGAGCCTTCCAAGACCTCAAGTCCTTACAGGTAAACTCATTTGTTTTTCAGTCCTTTGAGCACACATAATCCTGTCTTGAAATATTGAATTAAAAGTTTTCTGTACCATCAAATAAATGTTGTCTGAAGCCACAAAACATATTTGATAACACAGCTTATAACGTTTCACGTAGTTTTGTTATTTATGTACAAAAACTATAGTTTGTTGCATGTTGCATTTATGAATGACAATAAAGAAAACTGTATAATAGTCAACACTCTTTTTCAATCATGGGTCCACAGGTCCTGAAGGTGTCCTTTAATAAAGTAAAGGAGATCAGGAAAGAGACGTTCAAAGGTCTAGACAGTTTGCTGAGACTCCACATTGACCACAACAACATTGAATTCATCAGCCCAGACGCCTTCTACGGCCTAACCAGACTACAGTTGGTCCATCTGGAGGGTAACCACCTCCAGCAGCTCCACCCAGACACATTCATCACACTGAGACACAGCCAGGTGTTCAAGATATCCTCCATGAGAAACATCCACCTGTCGGATAACCTCCTCACAACTCTGCCTGAGGGTATCTTCTCAGGCTGCAGCGAGTTAGAGAACCTCTTCCTTCATGGCAACCCATGGACATGTGATTGCCGTACGAAGTGGTTCTCAGTCTGGGTGCAAAGGAACACAGGTGAGGAATAAGTGTTTGCTTTATAAAGCAGAGATGTACAGTACGAGCACCCCCTCTTTCATTAGTAAACCATTTTCCCATTCATACATGCAAAATAAAACTTAATCTAAACCTTTTTGAAGCTACATTTTCTAGCAGCTTTGATAAGACACATCTGGTAACAAGTAGCACTTTAATATTATTCTACTGAGACAAAAATTTGTATGTTTTTCTCTTACTATAAATGGTAATAGTGCATGGTATTGTATCCAAAGCACGAAAAAACGAAACACTTAAATCTTATATCTAAAATAATAATTGTCTTTTTCAGGTTCACACGTTTTCATTTTGGTTTAGTTTGCCCATAATTTGGAAAATTGTAAATGTTCTTTTCTTACATGCCAGTAACTAAACACTACAACTCGAATAAAATATTTCCAGGTGTGCTGAAATGCAAGCGAGACAGAAGATATCCCAGAGGCCAGCTGTGTCCTGTTTGTGAAAGTCCTGCCCCTTACCACAACAGGCCTCTATCTCTTCTCACTGATGATGCCTTCACTTGTACCAAACCATGGATCCAACCCCATCTAAAGAAGAAAAACATCAGCCTGGATGAAGGAGACTATACTCCAGTTTCCCCCAAGGACTTCATTGCCCCATTAGGCTCCATACAACTGAAGCTGACTGACCAGTTACACAGTGATGCCAGCTTGTCCTGCACTGTCCAGAGGCCCTCTGCTTTGGAGAACCTGACACAAACCTTAGAGGAGGGGGAGGGGAACAATGCCACCATGCTTACTGCGAGCATAAGTACATATTTGGTGTGTAACATTGACCATGAACACATACAGCAGCTGTGGCAGATGCTGGCCACCTACAGTGACTCTCCCCTAAGACTGGAGAGAGGCTTAATGCTGACGAGAAGCCCAGAAATGGTGTACAGGTATAGTCAGATGAAGAAAACAAATGAGGGAGAGGAAGGAATTTATACAAACATTGAGGCTGAGATTAAAGCCTCACCTGCATGGTTGATGCAGGGAGAGGTGAGCTTCCAGCTGGACCGCACTACTACCACCTTCTCTACTCTGCACATTAAGTACGAGTCTGTGGTCAACCTACGTGTGGAAAACACATCACCTAAGAGGGACCGATATTCCTGGACCATGATCAAGCAAGACAATAAAACACAGACTGAATACACTGTAATTACAGGTAAGAATTTCATGCTAAATAAATTAGCTTTTGTTGATATGACCTTCAATTGATTCTATAATGAAACTGTTACTGATGCATACCTATCTACTGAGCATTTCAAATGGTAAAAAATAACTCCAAAAAGAAAATGTGTTATAGTTGTCCTTTTAAAACATTTATTTGATTTTGATGTACTGTAGGTGGTGTGGTGCAATTGAGCTGTCAAATCCAGGGTGAGCCAAAGCCTTTGTTGGAGTGGATTTTACCAGATGGAAGTAAGGTCAGAGCTCCTTTCTCCAGTGATGACAGGAGGATCATAATCACTGCTGAGGGGAAGCTCACTCTACGGGGTGCAGATGCTTCAGACACTGGTCTCTACCGGTGCATCACCACAAACTACCTGGATGCAGATGTGCTTGTTTTTCGAGTGACAGTCCTGTCCCCCGACGTGGAAGAATCTGATGTTAACGGTGTCCAACTCTCACAGCCACTTGGTGAAAATCTGTTTTTTGACTGTAGCTCCTCAGGAAGTCCTGAGGCGTCGCTCCAATGGATACTCCCTGACCACTCAGTAGTGGGCAGTTCTCATGGGAACAGAAAAGTGTATGATAATGGAACCTTGCTGGTTAATGGTCTCACAGCAAGGGACAGTGGATTTTACAGATGTTTAGTTTCGAATCACCTCGGATTTGATCTGCTCGTGTCTCAGGTGACAGTGACTGGAGAAACATCTGAAAGGGTGACAGTTTTGGACAGTGAAGGATCCGGGCTGGAAATGGAGGACAAGGTTTACCTTAGCCTAACTGAAAACACAGACACTCTCAATGAGATCCCCTCCTCCAGTCCCTCGGACGGAACAAGTCAGGAATCCAGGACCATTACCTCAGATCGGCCTTACCCCAGACTCAGGTCACAGGTTAGGGTAGGTGCTGGAGGTAGACTCGGAAAGAAAAGGAAGGGCCCAGTCAGCAACAGACGCATCTGGAGTAATAGGGTGTTTGATAAATCTTCCAGGAAAGTGGATCCGCAGAAATTTGCTGAATTTATGAAAAAGGCTCAAGATGGTTTGCGAATAAAGGCTGGCGCAGAGGAAGAGGGGATACAATACTATCACTTGAATACCATCATATCTGGTGATGGTGAAATTGGCTCTGGTGAGGCTCATAGTGAAACTCATCTGCCAAGAATAGTCAAAGCAACCACAGAAAATCCACAAAAGGGTATGATGATTGGACAAGTGAACAGGCTTCCTGAAACTATAACAACTACTCATGCAGGTCAGGATAGTAATGGAGCAACAATGGAGGCACATCAAACATTTGGCATGGAAACCACAGTCAATAATCTTATCGATTCAAGTCACGTGACAGAAAACACAAACACACTTACAACAAAGTCCTATATGCAGTCAGATTCGACACCAATCAAGTCCACATTTACACACAATCCATCAGGAAAAAGGGACACACAGAGTGACGCAGCAACACCACATAGCACAATTTTACTCAACACAGGGCTTTCAAGTTTTGATGACACCACAGATTTTTATGCTAAGGAAAGTACTTCCAAGCCAGGCTCAAACAGGCACCCTGTCACACTCCAACTTACTGTGACTGACACGTCCCAAGAAACACAGCTCCAGTTCTCAGGAGCACAACCTGCAGAGTCAGAGACGTCAACTGGGACGTCGCTTTCATTTACCACGGACCCTCATGTTACTCCCATGATGGATGGTCCAGGACCATTGGAGCTCATTGTTCACACATCTACAGACCCAGAAAGCCAGACAACATTCACAGCCGTCAGCACCACAGAGAGACATCAAGATGAGATAACCTTCCACACTACCCAAACCATCAAATCCCCCCGTCTGCCGCCCGGATCAACCATCATCTCCCGTCAGCAAATTCAAATCATCCCAAACAAGAACAGCAGAGGTGGGGGGCGCAGGAGAACCTTTCATGGCCGCCGGAGGGTCATTAAACCAAATAGGATCACTGACATACAGTCCTTCATCAATAAAGTGAAACAACCCTCAGTAAAGAAGGAAGGGAAGTCCACAGTGCCATATAGAATTGAACTGACCACAGGTGAGGAACCTTGTTTTGTGAATTGTCATCATTCACTTTATGCTTTTTTCTTTAGTGTATACTTCTTGAGCTAATCTTTTGTATATATTTCTTGTCTTTTCATGTTTTCTTCATTTTGCCCTCAGCGTGTGACTGGGATGAAGACAAAAAGAAGACCGAAACCACTGATTTGCAGATGGTTACACCAACAGCTCCATCTGATTCATCTTTACACAGGACAGAGAGACCTTCCTCTGCAGCTTCTACCACAAACTATTACATTACTTCAAATTCTCCATTCACCCACACTGAGTCTAAGTCAGAAGTTTCTAGTGGTTACATAACCTCTGCTGATGCCCCTGAGTTTGACCCTACAATAGATCCATTTTTTACCACAAATGAGGAAGAGTCAATCTCCAGCACAACCACTACTACAATCGCCTCAAATGTTATCCGTGGAAGAATTCCATGGAACAGGGTGTTTGGAGGCAGAGAGAGGGAAAATATACATGGCAGGCTTAAGAAGCCACTTAACACCCAAAAAACAATAACTACAGTTGACACTACAACAGTGACGCCAACCACGACCCCTGCTGCTCTGCCGACCACTACTGCAAACTTCCTATCAGACCCTGAGACTGAGTCCCCACCCAGACACGCAGAAGGCAAAAAGGGCTCATTAGATGATGACTATGGAGATTTAACCTCTGCAGTCTTTGAATTAACAACACTGCAACCTAGCTTTCACCATCTAACCACTCCCAGCACACATTATACCTCCAAGTCTGCCACCACTGCTGAAACACTACCTAAATCACAGACTCTACCTTCCCCCCCTCCTGTCAAACCACCTTTACTTGAAAATACTGATGAAGACTTATCATCTGGGTCTGGGGGACTTCCTGATAATTTGGTTGTATTCAGACAGACGCCTGGTGGGACAAGAAGACAAAAAGGTCGTAGAAGGAGGCCATTCAGGGGCAGGAGGCCCTTCAAGAAACCTGCAATCACTAAATTAAACCCTACTAGCACAACTGAGGCTTTAATTACAACTTTGGAAACTACAATGGAGACAACCACACTGCCACAACATACTTTTTCACCTTACAACCCCCTTTATACACCATCTAGGAAAGAGGACAGAGCTCCAGTAGTTATTTCTGCTTACCAAACATCAAAGGAGGAGACTGACTTAAATGAGGAATTTGATTGGAGCACATCTAGCAGTTTATCTGCCTTTACTACAACCAAGGCACCCTTGATCCCTTCAACTGCATTAACCCCTACCACCTCATTCATGCCAATTACCACAAAAAAATGGCCCTACACAACCGCTCGGACCAAAGTGCAGAGAACACCAATACAGAGTAACACTGGTCACGCCACTCTTAGACCACCAGTGAGGAAAATAAGACCAACTGTGCTGAGTAGTGGTGCCAGTGACATTGCCGATAAAGAACTTAATGCAATGACCATCCTGACAGATGAACAGGGACCAAACAACAACAAAGGCCCACACTATGACATCTCGAGTGCTCATGATCGTGTCACTGGCAATGAAGCTACACGTACCAATACTGCTGGCTTTGAACCCACTACAAATATTATGACCAACAAACCTAAGATAGTTGGGGGCAATGCAGCTAGCTTCACCGTGTTATCCAACTCTGATGCTTTCCTGCCATGTGAGGCGGTTGGAAATCCTGAGCCAGCTATAACTTGGAAACGCTTCTCCTCAACCACAGGTACTGTACATATGCAATTTAATTAATGGAAGGTGAAAACGTCATTTAAATGTGAAATGTGAAAACAACAAAAAAAGCGAAATGAACAAAAAAAACATACTGAAGTAAAAACAAATCATAAAAGGGAAGGTAGTTTTAAGATGCTCCCCTAAAGAGGTTCTATAGGTTTTTGTGTGTTTTGAATTTGTATCTATTTAATTAATGGTGCAACAATTTAAATTACATTTGTTTATGAAATGGTATGTTTTCATGTTGCTTAGAATAACATATTGTTCTCTCTCCTTCAGGAAACATCGTTACTGTTAAGGGGAAGATGGGCAAGTTTGAGGTATTGAGCAATGGTACGCTGTTTATCCAGAATGCCAACATTAAGGATCGTGGCCAGTACATCTGTTTAGCTGAGAATGAGTATGGATCAGATAAACTTTTTGTTACCCTGTCTGTGGTGGCCTACCCCTCACGCATCCTGGAGCCAAAAATACGTGAGATAAAGTCTCATGCAGGAAACACTGTTGAAATGAAATGTAGAGCAGAGGGTCGCCCCCTACCCATGTTGTCCTGGATCTTGGCCAACCGAACCCAGGTCAAAGGTCAAAACACAGAGAAGGGAAGGGTATCAGTGTCTGCTGACGGGACTCTGGTCATTGAGGAGGTGTCTGTTTATGACAGAGGTCATTATAAATGTATTGCCAGTAACCCAGCTGGGGCTGATACTGCTACAGTCCGTCTGCAGGTGGTGGCATCTCCCCCAGGTATTGTTGAGGAGAAACGGCAGCAGGTAAAAGTAGGTGTAAACCAACATTTGTGGCTACCATGTACTGGCCAAGGCAGCCCTCAACCTGCTATCCACTGGGTCCTCAATGATGGCTCCATGGTACAATCTAACAGACCTGCCTCAAGGATATCAGTGTATGTAAATGGAACCCTACACATCAAGGATGTGACTCCAAAAGACAGTGGCAAGTTTGAATGTATTGCTACCAGTTCTACCGGCTCAGAGAAGAGGGTTGTGACCCTGACAGTAGAGAGGCAAGAGTCTGCACCTCAAATAGTGGAGACATCCCAGCGTGTGACTGTGTTGTTCTTTGAGGACCAGCTGAGACTGAACTGTTCAGCAACAGGAGACCCCAAACCCCAAATCCTATGGAGACTGCCTTCTAAAGCTATAGTGGACCAGGAGCACAGGTAAAAGAAAAATCCTCGATCAGTGGCAGTAAAGCACAGAAGAATAGCATTTACAGCAAACTTATAACTAAAAGCTAAAAGAGACATAACTAACATTTTGGATCCCTCATTTCAAAACAGGCTTATTGTTTTTGGATATACTTCTGTGCTACAGGATTAAGTCATTATTCCACTTTGGTATTGACTCTTGGTTTATCCCCCTAACATAGAGAACAGATTTTATTTTGTTCTCATGGCTTTGTAATTATTTTGAGGTGGTAACAACAAACATAGACATGTTAAATCTTTGCAAGCATAATTCATTTAAGTATAGCCAGGAATGAAAGTTTACTGATACTGTTTTGTAATAAAAATGCCTCTTTTATTGCAGAAAAGATACCCACACTGTGACAAAAGTATGTGTAATTTGTGCTTGCCATGCACTGTGGTGATTGGTGCTTGCTTGTATTAAATTAGGTTTTATTCTTTCCTCCCCTTGTACTAAGTCTGTCTATTTTATGTCATTTGTTTTTTCAGAATGGGCAGTAGAATTCAGGTCCTGGATAATGGTACTCTTATTGTGACCGCTATGAGTGATAAAGATGCTGGAGACTATCTCTGTGTGGCACGAAACAAGATTGGTGATGATCTCCATCTTATGAAGGTCAGTGTGTCAATGAAGGCAGCCAAGATAGAGCCGAAGCACTATGGAAAGAAGAAGGTACCCTTCGGTAATGACTTTAAGGTTGACTGTAAAGCATCAGGAGCACCAAAGCCAGAGATCTCCTGGGGTCTACCAGACGGTACAGTGGTCAACAGCGCTCTTCAATCTGATGCTAGCAGTGGACAAGGAAGAGCACGGCGCTATACACTTTTTGACAATGGAACTCTCTACCTAAACCAGGTATGCAATAACATGTGATGTTACATTTTGATTAAAACAAATATCCAAAAGATTGACATCGCTTTGTTGTGCTATTCCAGGTCAGTATGTCAGAAGAAGGGGACTACACATGCTATGCTGAGAACCAGGTGGGTAAGGATGAGATGCATTTACATATAACCGTGGTGACTGCTGCCCCAAGGATACGTTCAACTGGCCAGACATATGCAAGAGTGAAGCCTGGAGGGAACATCCGCTTTGACTGTGAAGCACTTGGGGAGCCCAAACCCAAAATCCTGTGGATGTTGCCCACCAACGATGTCATTGCAGCATCTAATGAACGCTACCTCATGCATGTCAATGGCTCGCTGGATATTAGGGATGTGAAGCTTATTGATGTTGGAGAGTATATCTGTATGGCTCGAAACCCTGCTGGAGAAAATAGAAAAGTCTACAAGCTTGATATGGAAGGAAATCCACCAGTCATTAATGGCTACCGGCAGAACAGAACAGTAATCAAAGATGTCGCTGCCAAATACTCCAGGAAATTAATAGACTGTAATGCTGATGGCGATCCTATGCCTAGTATCACTTGGATTATGCCTGATAACATCTTTATAAAAGCACCATACTTTGGCAGCAGGATTAATGTCCACCATAATGGGACATTAGAGATTCGTAATGTGCGGCCAACTGATACAGCTGAGTTCATCTGCATGGCCAGGAATGATGGAGGAGAGGCAGTAATGGTGGTGCAGCTCGAGGTGAGCAGTATTCTCAGGAGGCCAATCTTCAAAAACCCTTTCAACGAACGTGTTGTGTCTCGCATTGGGAAAACCACAGTGCTAAACTGTTCTGCTGGTGGGTACCCAATGCCAGAGATCAGTTGGACTTTGCCAAATGGAACACGGTTGACTAGTGGCCATCCCCTAGTTAAAAATGGGACTTTAGTCATCTACAACCCTAGCAAAGAGAATGCGGGGAAGTACCGCTGTGGTGCAAAGAATTTCATGGGCTACATAGAGAAACTAATTATTTTGGATGTTGGGCAGCCTCACATCCTTACAAGACCTAGAGGCGTAATACGCAGTGCTGCTGGAGAACCTCTTTTAATTCATTGTCTTTCTGATGGGAATCCAAGACCACACATTTACTGGACCATTCCTGGTGGCCACATTCTTACTCAGCCTCAAGTCTCTGGGCGCTTCCAGGTACTACAGAATGGTACTTTGATTGTTCAGGATACAACTATCCACGACCAAGGGAACTACATCTGCAGGGCTCGGAGCAGTGCTGGGGAGGCTGTGCTCACTGTTCCTGTTATCATCATCGCCTACCCTCCGCGGATCACAACAGGTCCACCGCCCATTGTGAGGGGAGTGACCGGGATACCTATTCAGCTCAACTGTGCCGCCATTGGGATCCCCAAACCAGAGATAATCTGGGAGTTGCCCGATCATTCAGTTCTGTCAGCGGCAGACCAGGGTCGGCCCATGGGTAGCGAACTGCTCCACCCTCAGGGCACACTTATTATTCAGAGGCCCAAAGCCTCAGACTCTGGCACATACAAGTGCCAGGCCAAGAACCTCCTGGGTACAGACTCCAAGGTCACATATGTGCGAATATTGTGAGAAAAAGACAATACCAATGGAGGACTATGGCACGACCAAGAGTAAACATCAACAGACACTTGTGCAACGTTTCACATGTGGATTAAAGATGATTAAGGCTTCAGGAACATTGTTAAAAAAAGTGACTAATTTGGATCAATACAATTAACAGAACAGAAACTAAGCAGAGATTTTATAGGAAAAAAAACGTGCTTTTTGTGAAAAGCCAGGGAAGTTGTTGTTTTAACTTTGGATCTGGAAAACCATAGGTGGTTCTCATTTGGGGTGGTTCTCATGGGAGCAAAACAGGCAGTGAATGAGTCGACCTTAAAGTGACTTCTCTGACCAGGCATTGCTGGCTGCGCATGGGGATACTATTACAATACATACAGGGAGAGAGAAAAAAGTGTGTAAGAGATTGATGGAAAGAAATAATTATCCCAAGAGGCTTTTTATTCCCTTCAGATATTGGCCAGATGTCATTGTTGTCACGACACATGATTTGTTGTTTAGCATCAAATGAAAAAGACAGGCAGAGTACTGTATATGGTAAAGCATCTTTCGAGAGCTATTCAGATGTTACAGTGGAAGTAAACAGATTTGTTGAACAGGAGGCTTGTTTTACACTGGATACATAGTATCTGCATGGACCTTTATAACACCTGATTTCTGTATTATACTTTTTGATGACAGGTTTAAGACAGATGTATTATGTTTATTCACAGTGCAGTGTATTGGTCAAAAACACACTTTCCTATCAATGTATTGTGTTGTACACAAGAATATACAGTAATGTTATACATTATGCTCATTTGTAATAATACAGTATATGTACCTATTTGTAGTATCTACTTTAACAGTATGAGAGACAAAATAAAATTCTAAAGAAAACATGGTTCATGTCTTTTTTATGTTTTATTTAATTATTTGATAAACCAACATTGTTTTCAATAAAGCATGCATCATATGAAACATCACTGTTAAAAGTTCACATAACTGGCTCTTAGTGCTTGTATGCCATTAACATTGCAGTTGTAATGAAGGTCATTAGGATAATCCAGTTGTACTTCACCCTACAAGAAGAAGGTCATGGCTCTGGTAGCAGTAGAAACCTTCCAGACACAAACACTTCTAACTCCCCAGCTGTTAAAATAGTTATTCACCCAGCTCTTCAATCTGCAAGACCTACAGGGGAGTCTTTTAATTTTTATGACTAAGTGTTGATTTTACTACCCTCCAACAAATTAAAAAGAGAAATAATGGAAATGTTTGAGACAGAAAGGGGGAAAAGGGATGTACTCCTTTTTTGAAACTCATATTTTGAGAAAAGATAGAAATACATTACATGCAGCACAACAACTAAAACAATGACATTTGGTGAGAGTGAGATGCTTTACTATATAGCAATGATCTAACTACTAAAGTCCTTTTTAAAGGCATTACATGCGACAAATGCACTCCTATGCCTTAAAGGAAACAACTGGAACCCATTTCTCAGTAAATTGCCCCAATTGGTAATCTCCTGTAATAATGCTCATTTAAATGATGCAATAACTTCCTTTTTGCAAAGCCTCATAAATCAAGAAAACAAGAGAGAAAACAAAACAAACAAACAAGATAATTAATCAATTCTGTGTCCCATAAAAAAATCATCGGTTCAAATATAAAATCTAATCTAAGCTTTTAAATCTATTAATTGTACTGAATGTTGTCGAGATTTATATAAATATTAAATTCAATTCTATAAACAATCTTTTTATATTTGGTTCGTGCCATATTGCACATGTTTCTGACAAGGGTTTGTTACAGTCTTTTTACGATGCCGGAGTATAAAGCACAGTTTTAATCATCAAACAGGAAGTAATTAGTTCAAAGTGGCTCCATATACCTAACAGCTACATTGTCATTAAAAGGTGAAGGGCAGTCGTCAGTCCTAAGGTGTATATTTTCCAATAAATCTATTTTTGAGATTTTCTCCAAAGTTTCGAGCCAGTCTACAGTAGTGTGATATGGCCGACACAGACATGGGGAGAAAATGAATTTTCTTTCACAAACTTAGGAATGTAGACTTACTTGCTCCATGATTTAAGAGAACACTGATTTTATAATGGAGATGTGTGGCAACCACACACAAATAACACTAATGTTTAATTACCACTATATTATTTATGGCTCTTCAATCTGAAAGACAGTTAATTCTTCACATCATTCATCCTTTGTGGATGGTGAGTTTATTTGTTCAGTTCTGGTTTTGCAGTTCATGTTTGGATAATGTCCACTAACTTGGATATTTATGAGGATTTGTACGTTTCTCCCATTTGCTCCTGTCCCCTTGGGTCTTTAAAGTAAAAGAGTTACAGTTCAACACATATTATTTAAAATATGGTTTTATAAGAGGATGCTGAAAGGAATGGTGTTTTTTTTGTATGAAGGTCCCCTTTACCAGGTCAAATAAGCTGTTCTCCTGAACCTAATTTCTGGTCTGGTCGCAGCTGTTAAAGTGAGACATGGTAATATTAAGAGCTGTACTACCACGGCCCTTTCACAAGATGAATAAACAAAACCTGTTTTTACACCATGAGGTAGTTAAAACTGTGGCCACTCCTTGGCCACCTCAAAGATTGTGGAAAAACAGACAAAATGTGCACATGATCAAATGCCTTCTTGCTGCAAATATTGTCCTCATTACCTCACAGTTCACTCTCCAAGGGACAGAGATCAAATTGAGCAATATTTCCTGGAGGCAGCTCGTTGATTTTCACATGTAATTACCTATATTTTGCCAACTTTAGACCACCTTTACCTTTACCTCCAAAACGTTTCTACTATTTGTCAAACTGCAGGGAAAAATTAACAATAGATGCTTTGTTCAACCAGCAATTCCTGCCTGAGTACTCTCCATGTTTCCATCCAACAGCAAAGCTGTCCATCTCCACTCCAGGAACCAATGTGAGGCCACATCTGTATAGTCACTCAAGTCAGTGATTCTAGTCAAATATATTCTCAATTTCTTTTGTGATTTTTATATATCTATTTATATTTATTTTATCTTATACATGTTACTCATTCAAGGCCCCTATTTCTCAGTTGGAATTGAATTAGTTCTCAATATGATACTTAACCGTCAAGATTGATAGTGATATTGAAATGTAGGAATTCTACTTAAATTGAATGTGCAATGTATGTTTTCATATATCTGGTTTAGAGTAATGCCTGAATTAATTATGACAAACTGAGGAAGATTTAGAGTTATGTGAGAAAAGTGACGATAAAGTCGGTAGACGAGAAAAACAAGAGAAGGGTGAGATGTATTTCTCTCTGTGGTAGGAATTCCATACTTAAAGTTGAACATGGAAACTGAGATCTCAAGGGAGGATGCCTGGGAGCTCAGCAGTCTGAGACAGTACCTCTCTGTAAGCTCAGCGAGTCTGTCTTATTATTTTTGATGCTGCAAACTTGGCAACTAGTAAAATCCTCCAGAAAATGAAGTGAAGCACTTACTTCATTTTTGCTGCAATCCAAGCTTATGTCTGGGAAGCTATTTTCAAATAACCTAAGTGGGTTTTCCGTTACACCCCGGGTCTTGCTGATGCACACACACATTTGCTTGTACAGTATATCGGCATCTCCTTAAGTACCTCTGGTGTTGTTGGAATTTCACACCAGCTTTTCAGAATCCACACACCCACCTTCTGACCACAAGTAAGAAAGATTCATCTTTGCACCTCTCTCCCAGGTAGGATGTGTCATGCTGTGATATTGGTTCCAAGTTTCTCAAACCCTTTCTTCCCCAGAGAAGACGCTGTTTTACCAATAGCATAACACGTATAGAAAATATATAAAACATAAAACATATAAAACATATAAGAAAGGTAAAGGAAAGTTTCAGGTGTAATTTTTCAACTTGAATGAGAGCCCTCAAGGTTTTTGTCTTCTACACATATTCCCTGTTAGTGTCAAAAGTGAGCCTTAAGGAGCCAGGTATAAGGACAAAGGCGTGATCATAAATCAAACCAATTGTAACCATAAATTGTCCAAAGCTAACAGTAAGTGGATACTGCAACCATTAAATCTAAGAAGGGCCTAATAAATAAAATAAAAAGAAAGGCACCCAGGTTTTGTATGTTTATCCTAAAGCATGGGATACACTTTTTAATGGGACCACATCCCTCAGTTTCTGTCCTGAGGGCAGTGGAAGTACATCAGTGGGGGTTGTGAGAAGTGATCGGGTGCAGATGTGGTCCTTTAGACCCCAGAGAGTAACCAGGTGGACTGCTGGAGGACACTGCTGTATACCTAACCTTCCTCACTTCAGTCACGCAAACACCAAACTAAAAACATCAAAGCTATTTTAAATGACTGAGTCTCAAAGGGGGGGGGGGAAGCTTTTAAACAAGCCAGCTCACCCAATTAGGCTGCATCAACACTGTGGCACTGCTACTTTACAGCAGAGGCTGAAGTTTCAGTCTGACAGGTTTAGCTTTTCCACGATACAAAGTTCACTGATAAATTAGTAAAGCTAAGTGGGATGAGTCTTTTTTTTATTGAAGCTTGCACATCTTTACTGAAATGAGGGAACAATGTCGTACACTTCTCTCTTCCCCCAGCTGTGCAAATGAAGTCTTCTGTATTTCTACTGTTTGATAGTTTCTCGTACTTTTTTGAAATGTTACCAGGACAAGAACACAAAGTTGGAGGTCTGTTGTGAAAAGAAAGTCAGGAATTTGCAAATTACATTCCTTCACTCAGACACATATGGGGTCAGCATTTCCTCTGTGCTTCTGGAAATAAAGTTTAATTTACCACTCTGCAGTAAAGTCAATGTGTAATTTAGATGCAATCTGGAGGAGCTGTAACACCGCTGAGGAAACACTAAACACCTATAAATAAAACAACGAGACAGGAGCAAGAGTCTTAGACTTGGACAGCACTGTGAAAAAGCTTTCTCAGATACTCGAGGATGTGTTTCCCATACAGACAATTTTGTAGAAATGTGTTAGCTGTGATGTAATTATCTCTTAACCTTTTAAATGACAATATATTTTACCTATTGTCATGTATTCACACATTGAACATTTATAAAAATAGAACACAAATAAAAAAAAAGTCTCATATCCTGTTGTCCCAATGAGAACCAAGAGATGGCATCAAAAGCTTTAATAATTAAACTG